TATATATATATATTAGAAAAATCCCGAGGGAAAATATATTAATACGGAAAAGATACATAAATGTTGTATGAGAGAGCCTAAAAGAAAGTCAACTCATATAATACAACGCACACAAAACTCAAATAAAACAAAAATACATAAATGTAAAAAACCAAAAAGTCACAAAAAGGCACAAAAGTGTTAGGGACATCCCGCTTTAGTCCTCCCGCCTCTAGTTCTTGGAAGTGAGCCGACAAACAAATTAGTAAGGTGAGTTTCATTGCCCATAGTAACCAAAGTATCTTCCATCAGAATCGTGAGCTCAAGTATATCTTCATTCATCTTCTTCCTCCTGGAAATGTAGGTCTGTCATTCCTCATTTGATGATTGACTTATCTAATCAGTAGATTCCAAATTTGATCAGACATGTGTAAGTCGTTGCACGTCTTGATCCCCATGGGCCTGAGTAATATTAACTTCTTTATGGACCTTATGAGACGACAGTAAAGCAGTAGAAGTATTTCCACCCGTATTATCAGTGATAGGTTCTAGGGCAGGTGAGGTATGAAGAAACTCTCTCTCCCCCACGATAGTAGGTTCCAAAGACGAGGGAGCTACAACTGGGGACTGAATAGTTGTCATATTGCCTGCGGGGATAATGACGTCGTCCGGGATATCTTTCTGATGATCAATAGTGTCAAAAACTGGGAGCTGATCAGGAGGAGATGGAATCACAACCTCTAGTAGAGCAGTTTGTTTTGTTGGTCTGAGTTGGGGGTGTGGATGATGACATTGAGAACTGGAGTGTTCGAACATACGACAGTTCAGACAATATGACGAATAAGGTTCAATCTCTACCTTATGCTAATATCCATGGTGTTGTGTACTCAGCCAGATTTTCTCAGAAGCGGGTGAAGTGATGTCTCTTTCAACAAGTACTCTGACTTCAGAAGGACGAGACAGATTAAAAGTAGGAATGTTCGTTTTGAGTGGCTTCCCATAAGCTGAGGCAATAGAGTACAATTCTTTTTGAGAAAAATAATGAAAATTCAGACCAGGGAGATGAATCCAATTTGGAATGATTGACGGTTCTGTCTGTGGGTCAAAATCCACAGACCATTTTAAAGTTTTCATTGCTCTATTATCAATCCATATTATCCTTCTAGCAAATAAGCGTATGTAGTCATCTTCATTATTAATTTGAATAATAATTTGTCTCCCATCTAATAGTCCAATTTTCCATTCTCCAACAAGGTGCATAAGTTCAAATTCTTTGCGAATGAGCTCCATTTTTGGATGACCATATAGAAATTTCCTAACCAAATTTAGACGACAGGAGGAAGCAAATTGACTTCCTTCAGCTTTTGTAAAAAAGATGACAGACTTCCTATTCTTCCTACCAGGTTTATTGATGTTCTTCCCCCACTCAAATGAAGGAGGAAAAAATGACGATTTTGATGTGCCTGTGGCATGGACACTGGCAAGGGCAGATGCATACGATTTGCCCGAAGCCATCCTCAAAGATAGGTGCGACGCTCAGAGAAGAAAGCAGGTGAGGAAAAAATCGTGTCGAAATAGCCGAAGTTAAGAAAGGGGAGGAAGCTTTGAGATGGGACGAGCACAGAGATTGCAAAAATCGCGAGCAGAACCCGCGAGATTGAGCAGCAAAACATGCCAGCGGTACCCGCGAGACGGGCTGCAGAGGAGCCACAAAGCCTGGAAATCCCGAGCCTGGAAAGCTTGCGAGACCGGGAGACGGGAGACGAGCCTCGACTCAGAGCCAGAGAAGAAGCGGGGGAGACGAACGGAATCGAGCGCGAAGACGCCGAGAGGAAACAACGAAGCCGTAACTGTTGCTAGGGTTCGCCATTGGGCGGAACCCTAGTAGAACCAAGCTAGGAAGACGACGCCATTCTTATATAGGACAAAGCATATATATATATATATATATATATATATATATATATATAGAGCATGCTAAGCACTATTAATCATTACACCCGTAATCTTTAGTGACAAATAGACCAAAATCTATACCATTCATTCTTGTACTTGCTGTCATGTCCCCTTAACAGTTGTCATTTATTTACTACTCTCTTTTCTTCAATGCCATAAAATCTCTTTTAATGTGCCATTGTTTCTTATAATAAAAACAAGGCTTGCTCTTTTTATTAGACTTGTATCTAGGACTCTAGAGATAGGCACATTCTTGATTTTTCCATTGGTCACCTTTTGAATGATCCCTCACACTGCTTAGTTTTATTGCGCTTAGAGGTTACATCTTTTGACAATAATAGTTTCTTCTCATTTTTGCTCTTAAGTGTCAAGAAATTGAACAAATTGAATAATCACAAGGAAATTGAAATTTGATGAGCTTTATTTTTTTAATCATATATAATTGAACTAAACTAGTGCATATGCCATTGATGGCGTATCTTGGTGCATGTGAATGCATTTGTTAGAGAGGTTTTGGGTGTTGAACAATGATTCTAATTTGAGCTTTAACCTTTAGTGCTGGATTCCTCCAGGACCTCCATCAAGACTTTATCTATCAAGTGCAACTAGATCATTGGAAGTTCTCTTTCATTTATATTTGCCTTTTCTTCTTCACTCAAAATCATCATTTTTGAACACATCATGAGTGCCTTCTCAAGGCCTTGTTGGACCAAAACACCGCATATATTGGTTCTCCAAAGAGCAAAATTCTTGACTCATCAAATACCTGGTCCCTAAAATTCATGCCCACCAATCTCAGCACTGCACGTTTGATCAAGTCTGCATTCATGGTAGAGAAGATAGGCTCTGATCAATCAGAAAATAGTTCATTGTGGTGTACACTTCAGGAGCACTAACTAGCCGTTTTCTAATTCATATGTGGACTCAAACTTAAAAGAAGAAATCCATAAGTTGGAATATCTTGCACAATTTTTTTTTTTTTTTCATTCTTCCGTCATTCTTCCGTGAAATGCTAGAAATGCTAAAGCTGCTAATCCGTTAGAAGTCATAGACACAAGAGTGAAGGAACCCTAGATTCAAGAAGGTATGTGGGGAATGAAGAGTATCTCCAATATCAAATATAAATCCTTAAGAAGAACATTCCATGTGTATAGCCGTCGAATTCCTCTAGGAGGAAACTAACACAAACATGGATCTCAAGAATCCATGACACAAATCCTGAAATCACGGTATCTTTGTGGGGACAATCTCAAAGTCAATAGGAACAATTCTATTGTGAGTCCGTAGGCTGGTTGATCGAGAAAATATCCTACTTTCCCATTGTGAAAGCTTCAGTCATAGCTATCCCTGTGATCTAATCCTAGAAGGGAATAATTTGGGATTTCTCAATCAAATTGAGTGAAAAAGTAAGTTGATTATCCTAAAGTGGCATAATGTTATGCTCCATGTCAGTGGTCCTCAACTAGGCAATGAATTGACTTGTTTACTCATCTTTTGACCCGATTTTATAAATTAAATGTTGCCTTTTTTATTATAAATATTGAGCTTATATTTTAGTTATTTTTGTGATTTTAGCTGTCAATTCAAATTGCAGAACTTTAATTGCTATTACACTTGTCAACCGTAATTTACCTTAAATGATCGAACTTAAGAATCGACAGTATTCTGCTTACATCGTTATTTGTAGGTGGAAATGAGCCTCGCCTTGTTGCAGCTGCTACTGAACAGTTAAATAAATTGCCATTTTACCACTCATTTTGGAATAGGACTACAAAGCCGTCCTTGGTACGTGCAATTCCAAAAACATCTACCTTTTTTTGTTCCTGCTATTAATGCCTCTTATGTTTGGTCTCTATGCTTTTATCATTGTAAGTGGTACCTTAAGCCAAATTTGACCTACAGTCCTTGTTCTAAATTGTGGTTTTACTGTTGTTGATTTTGCTAAAAAATAAATAGCATTAATGGAAATGGTAATCATTCAATCTCATAGTAGTAGTTTCTATGCTGTTTTGGACATTTTACAGACATGGGAGAAATATGCAAAATTTTTGAGGCAAATTACTAATCCAAAACGAGTGACTATGCTAACTTATATAGAAGTTAAGCCAGATGCAAGGGCCAATGAGTTATTGCTAGAACTTAATATTAGATAAGAATCATGAGTTACATGTTCGAAATTCACGTGTTCAATAGAAACATAGATTTTGATGACTATGACTGAACATAAGTAACACACACTTTCAAAGCAACAATGAAGACATAAGAGATGGTCGAGAAGAAAATAAATAATATGGGAGATTTTAAATCAGCTGACACCAATAGAAAATTGGTAATGAATGCATTTTGTAGGTCTTGGATCCTTTTTAAATTGAAAAAATAGGGAAAATTCCTTCTTTTTATTGCAACGGATTTATGGAAGTAACTCCAAGATGAAGTAAAGATTTTCATAATAATAAATAAAGGATTGGTGAATATGGCATAGAAGTTAGATTTCCCAAAAAAGAAGGGAGTTGCAGATGCAGATCCGAAAATGTTGAAAATAGGGAGTTAACTAAGATGCAATAAATTGCTTAACTAAACGGTTTAGTTAGTCCTGGACAATGATATAATCTACTAAATAGAATAAACTTATAGGAAGCTTGTAGCATCTTAGCTTGTAGCATGTAACCAAAGTAGAGATTAAATGCTGGTAGCCAATAAGAGATTGATTAGCAGATATCAATAGGACAAAATCTTGTAACAAGAGGATGAGGATCTGTAACACCAAAATGTAGGCAACAAGTATAGCGTTGGATTCGTTCAATTTGAAGAACATTCACAGTAATAAGTGCAGATTTATTGTCATCTTAATGTGCCTGCCAGCATGTGTAACCATCAAGGTCAAACAGAGGCAATCAAGTCTTTAGTTTTCGAGCTATATTCTTGTATCTGCCACACCCACAACATTAGTTGAGTTCTACTTGGTCATCAATTTAATGCCAATAAGCCAAGATAAATTTGTGGAAGCTACTCACTGCTATGATGGACATAGTAGGTGCAAGTCATAATTGGAAGGGTTTCTTGATAACGTGTGTGCCACATAACCTCTCATGTCAAATAAATCAAATTATCTACAACAACAACAACAACAACAAAGCCTTAATCCCACTACGTGGGGTCGGCTACATGAATCCTTTTTCTTCATTGCGTCCTATTTAATGTCATAATGTCATATTTTCATCCTATTTAATGTCATATTTTCATTTTTTTCTGATAAGTTAACATCATTTCTTATACAATAAGCCCAAGTCTTCCTAGGTCTACCTCAGCCTTTCTTAACATAAGTCAAATCTAAAATATCTACTCTCCTAATCAATGTTTGTGTCCGACCATCTAAAACGACTTTCTCTAATTTTATCTATCACTAGAAATACACCAACCTTATTGCGGATATATTCATTTTGCATTTTGTCTCTAAGTGTTAAAGCCACCTATCCACCTAATCATTCTCATATCAGCAACACTTAACTTAGTAGCCATAGAGCATTGAAGGTCTCACCACCATCTTATAAAATTTTCCTTTCAGTCTAAGCGGTACTTTTCTATCACACAAAAGACTCAAAGCTTTCCTCCACTTCAACCAACCAACTTGAATTCTACTATTAACATCCCCATTTATATCACCATCGCTTTGAACAACAGACCCGAGATATCTAAATCGTTCACACCTTTTAAGAATTTGATCACCCAAAGCTACACTTCTGTCACTAGAGCTACTACTACTAAAATTACATTCCATGTATTCAGTTTTAGTTCTACTCAAATGAAGGCCTTTAGACTCCAATGTAGATCTCCATAATTCAAGTTTTTCTTGGGTTTTTTCTCTCGTCTTATCCACGAGAAGGATATTATAAACAAAAAACATATACCAAGGTACATCCTCTTGTAAATGTCCAGTAAGACCATCCATAACTAAAGCAAAAAGATATGGGCTTAAAGCCGATCCCTGATGTAATCCAACAGAAATAGGAAAATATTTGGTCAATCCTCCTTCAGTTTGAACACGAACAACTCTTATATATATATACTTAATGACTAATGGCTTGAATATAAGTCATATCAACACCTTTCTTCTTAAGAACTCTCCAAAGGATATCTCTTGGAACCTTATCATAAGCTTTTTATAAATCAATAAAAATCAAATGTAGATCCTCCTTATTATCTTTGAACTTCTCCATCAAACCTCTCAATAAATCTATAGCTTCCAAAGTAGACCTACCCGACATAAACCCGAATTGATTACGAGAAATCTTTGTAATACATCTTAACCTATGTTCAATTGCTCTCTCCCATAATTTTAAAGTATGACACATCAACTTAATTCCTCTATAATTTGTACACTTTTGTGCATCCCTCTATTCTTAAAAATGGGACCAAAATACTCTTCCTCGACTCCCAAGTATCTTTTTTAGTTTTTAAAATAATATTAAAGAGTTTATTAAGCCAAGAAATTCCCAAATCTTCTAAATATTTCCACACTTCAATTGGGATATCATCAGGTCCTACAGAGTTTCCACTTGTGGTTTTCTTTAAAGCCTCATCAACTTCTTTTTTTACTAATGCGACGGTAAAAAGGAATTGTTTTATGATTATAACGATATTAATATCACTAAGGTCAATCATATTTTTAAAAAACTTCATTAAAAGACTTATCAAAATAACTCACTCACCCGTGTTGAATATTTTTTTCTAAGAAAAGTACTTTTTGATTTTCATCTTTAATACAATTTAATTGGGTTAAATCTTAACTTTTTTTTTTCTTTATTTGGTTAGTTTGTACATATATTTTTCACTCTCCTTAGTGTCTAATCTCTTATAAAGATCACTAAAATCAGTATTTTTAGCTTCACAAATTGTTCTTTTAGACTTCCTGCGGCCGTTTGATATTTTTCCCAGCTCTCTAAGCTTTTAAATCAAATTACCTACAAATCAAAATTTACCCAAATGAAGAGAAGGTTAGATTAATATTATAAAGAGGGGTCAGTAGCCATGCAAATCTCAAATGCTTGACAAGCAAAATCCTCGAGGCTTATTCTCTTCAATGAGTCATTAAGCTTTAAAAATCAAGCAAACAATTTTTAAAGCTAGTATAGCATCAACAAGTTGAATTAAAAAAGTGAAAATTGATTAGTTATCATTAGCTTAGGGTTTAGTTGGATAAAGATGGTCGGGTTTTAAGAGTTAATGGTCTTTTTTGACAACATGAGGAAAGATGGTCATGCTGTGTAGGCTTCCACTCAACATGCCTGATGGCCGAGCTGGCTCTATAAAACTTCTTTGATTTGTCAAGCCTTACTAATGCAAGTTGAAGAAGTTAACTAATAAGATATTTACATCAGTTCCGATATTTATACCCCTCTATGATCTCTAATTTGTAGATTAACTATAACTTCTCTTTTGTTATTCGTTCGACCTTATCACTGTGCCTACGTGATATAGGGTTTAACCAAACACCAAGGGAAAAAACATATTATCGCCGTCTTCAAATAGGAAATTACAACAAAACACAGCAGAAATATGAAATTGTAACAGAACATGATAAACAACATTAGACTAGGGTGGATACCAGGTGGAGGGGTGTCGACTAGGTGGTTCAGAAGTTGGTGGTGGGTGGGTAGGGAGAAGAACACAACACGTGGCTATTTTGGATGAGCGACAACAAGTATGGGAGGGAGAAAGTTACAAAATACAACACCAAATGACTGTATTAGAAGAGACAACAAGGATGGAATTGGGAGCAAGTGGCTGGGATGGTTGGATGGTGTGTTGGAGGATATCGGTTGCAATAGACAGTGGTTCTGGGGCAGCTTTTCTAGGGCAACAACAAGGTTGGAGAAGTGAAGGATGTAGGGAGATGATGCAACGATGGATGTGGTATGTTACAGGAAGGATAAACACCACCTTGTGAATGAGATACACCTGGAGCACCATTTTGATACAACCCTAGAAGAGAAAAGAGAGACGCCATCGACTATCTTGAAACAATCACAACAAATACTTAAAACCTAAACAAATAAAAGCAAAATATATATGCCAATGAGAACTAGGAGTGGCCCCATTCCAATTGGGTGGTAGTTCCTTTGCTTAGAGGGTTGGCCGACTCCTCAAAAGCTTTGATCAGTTCGGTCCAGGTGCGCCTAGGCTTCCCATGCCTAAGGTAGACGCCTGTGTTTGTCTCCCGAGGTAGGGGAGCTTTAACCTCATTTGTCGAGGATTATGGCTTCTCACATAATAGTAATGATGTAATCTTTCTGGGTTGGGGGGTCTTCAACTGAGTTTGTGGAAGCACCTAGATTCCACTGTTGAATACCCAATCCCATAAAACAGCTGATAAAGGTTTTCGAATTGCGCTTAACCATCTCTATCTGTCCAATCCTCTGTGAGTAGCTTGCTAATTGAACCAAAACTTTGTGCCAAGTGTACTTTACAGAGTCTCCAAAAAGTAGCCCAATGTTGGTTCATCTCTCTCTGAAGTGAATATGGACTGAACCTTTTCTAACCATGGCGTCCTTGGCAGTAAGATGTCGGTCATGATATCTTGAAAATTTCTCGATAGTGACTGACCTATGGAATTTGAAACATTACTTCATATTGCTTCTCTTGCCATATATTTAGGTATAAATTCTCCGAGTATTTAAATGCTTATTATTAGCTAAAAACTCCTCATTTCATTCATAGGATGTTTCACCTAATGCACATATTGATCCTCCATGCTTTTTGGTGGAAGACCCCTCATATTTTCAAGC